GTGCTCTTCCTCTTCCAGTCGCTGCTGGGCTCCATCGTCGATGCATTTCTCATTGGCTGCATGTTCATCAAGATGTCCCAGCCCAAGAAGCGAGCTGAGACCCTCATGTTCAGCCAGGCTGCAGTCATCTCGCAGCGGGATGGCACGCTCTGCCTCATGTTCCGTGTCGGCAACCTCCGCAACAGCCACATGGTGTCTGCTCAGATCCGCTGCAAGCTTATCAAGGTGAGGCCTGGCATGACAGCGAGTGGGATAGGGCGCCTGGGTTGCAGTGGCTGACGAGGGCAGGGTGCAGACCTAGTGCAACCACATGCCCATAGGGTGGGTAGCATGGGGCTTCCCCTGTGCTGGCCCCGCTGCTGCCTGCTGGTGGTCTCTGCCCTGCCCCACCCCAGGGGCAGCTGCCCTATCTGTCCCCTGGCATGCGGGTGAGGTGACATGGCCAGGGCAGTGTGAAGGTCTTTGGAAAAACTTGCCATGGCTGCCCATAGTGGGAGCCACAAAGGAGTCAAGCAGATGTAGGGGCAAATCTCATCAGAGAGCTCCCGAGGCATTCCAGTGGATTGTGAGGCTGGCAGGAAGCCAGTGTGGTCAGGAAGGGTGGATATGCCAGGATACAGGACAGCTGCAGGGAGAGATACTAAGGCATGCCCCTTAGCAGATGATGTCTGGGGATAAGAAATTGATTATACTCATTTTGTGGTGACATTAAATTAGGACAAAGATCAATCTTGACCTCCTCTTCAACCTGGGGAAACTTGAGGAGCTTTAACTTGCAGTTCCTTACACCATGGTTCCAGCCCAGTGGCCTCTGAGCATTTCAGAGGGATTGTGCAGGTGCTTTAGTGTAAAGGCCCTTTGATTGTCACCAATATCTATTTATTAATCACTGACAATAGTTAGTGTAATTCAGAATGCAAGAAAACTGGAATTCAAATGAGATCATAACTGAAAAAATAAAGAAATTATCAGGAGACAGTAGAGTTTGGCAGGCATGGAAGTCCGGAAGATACATTGGGCAGGTGTAGAATGGAAGGAAACACTGCATGTGGCATGACAACAGAACGCAACATAGCAGCTAGGTTTTGGCACAGGAGCATGCTTGATGGGGAGCATCCAAAGCTGGATCCCAGTGATGATGTTAACTTCAGAATATTATATTTGAATGTCGCAACTCTTCTATATTCTCTATGGTAATCCTCTCTTTGGAGCAACTGTTTGGCCATTTTATATCTGCAGAAACAAGCATGAGACAGTAGGTCAAGGGACAGTGGTAAATGCAAAAGGATGTTTTCCTTCGGTGCAGAACGCTTGACTGAGCTGTTAATTTTTCTTGCTGCAGAATACCATTTAAAATGGAGAATCTACTAAGATTAAAAAAGAGGTTGGAGATATATATATATATGGGAACAAGCTGTCAGGAGTTACAATGGAGCATTTTTTTGTAGGAATTGGAAAGCCAGCTAAACTATTATTTTTATTGGTCTCTAACTGTTAAAAGTACTTAATTCTGTCCATCATCCAAGATGGAATGCAAGTCTAAGTGGAGTAAAAGCAGTGTCACAGTTGTGTTTTTGCAGTGGTAGTAATTCACTATAAACTTATTTTGAAATAGGACACTGAAGACACAACCTGATGCACTTTCTACTGATAATTCTGTTGCTATGCATTGCTGGTATGCAGGTGATTGGGACAGAAAGTGCAAGGACGTTTGATGGACCACCTTGACCTGATTCGTCTTATGGTAGCTTTTTCATAAACTAGTACTTGATTCCTTTTGAACAGTTACCAGGCCCATAATGTGTCTTCAGGCTGCTTTGCAACCTTTGTCAACTATAAGCTATGGACACAGGGAAGCTAAAAAGTAAATATTTGTGTGCTAGCTGCCCCCAGTCCTCAGTACAAGGCACGGTATTAGTCCCTGTGCCTTTCTGTAAATCCTCCTCTGTTGAGGTGCCCCTTGAACTGGACGCACTGTTCCAGCAGTCGTAAGGGGCCATTACAGCAGTGCATGAATTTACATCAGCTGCTTTGAGGTGGCTTTATGTGTCCTGTAAACTGATGGTGAATGTGCCGGAACTCACTTACCATTTATCTTTAGCAAGTTCTGCCTTTTTGTGATTTGTGCTCTTTCCACTGTGCTTTGTGCAGTGCTGTTGACAGCTGATCTTGCTACACTTCTGCACCCGGTTAGATAGACAGAAATTTTTTTGCTTGTGTCACAGTGAAAGAATGTGAAGAAATATGTCTTATCACACTTTTGTACTTGAGATAGGAGCCATATTTAGTAATGAACATAGTGTTTCAGTGGGACCAGTGGAGCTCTGAGGATTTACCTTTGTAAAGGAAGTACACCAATCTAAGTCTGCCTGAATGGCATTTACTGAAGGTGTGATATGTGCCCTTGGATATTTGGTAGATTACAGTGGTGCCTCCACACTGTGCTGGCTTTTTTTTTTTGTGGTCCAGGGGGGCTGCCCAGCAGCGGGGTGTAGTGATGTCATGAAAAAGTCTGGGGCCTTTTCTGGACTGAGTTATGTAGAGTTTAGAAAACAGCGTTACAAGACTAAGTGTGGCTATTCCAGCAAAAACTTTTCCAGAAGTAGTGCACCGGAGTGATCTGGTGATAACCGCAGCAACGAGCATCCGCTGTATGGCGATCAGTATTGGGGTTTTTTAAAATTAGTTACGACACCTATTTTTATTTTCTCTTGATGGGGCTACACATGTCACTGATAAACATGATTGTGTTGGTGTGTAAAGTGGTCTGTAAAGTGTTACAGCTAGTAGTGTAGGACATTTTGATTCAGAAAGCCGAGGAATGTAAGATCATCATAGCCTGTTTTCAACACGTGCTAAGGAATAGTTTTAAAAATACGGTTGTGAAGCGTAGTAGCCATAGAGCCAGTGCACTCTGGGTTTTGACCAGCAGGCACCTATTCTTTGATCTGTACTAATTAACAGCTTTGAATAAGCTGAAAGCAAACAAAACTGTAACAGAAAGTTCGCTATGCACTGCTGTGAAGAACCTGGCTCCACCTTCTTGATTACCTTCCTATTAGGTTTTGGAAGATTGCTACTAGATTCCCCTCTATGCCTTCTGTTCTCTGGTCCGAACAAGCCCAGCTCAGTGAGGTTGTATTTACAGCTTGGAGCAACCAGACTATATTAAAAAGTAACAGTCATCCTGGAAATTATCTAAACTAGAGCTGCAGATACAGTGTCGCTACCAAAAAAACATACAATTCTTTAACAGCAGTATCAAAGTAACAAGTTCATATTATTTCAGTAATATAATACACGATAAATGTTCTTGCAAGCTGCTATTCTAAGGGTGGGGCAGAAGTGCAGATAGGTAAGGTGAGGGTTTTTCCAAAAATACCCTAGTGCTGTATGGCAAATTAGCATGTACCAGTTTAGCATTTTCTAGACTCTTGAGTTTCTCTACAACATACTGCAATATGAAGCTAGATGGTCATCTGTCTTTTGCATTCCGTGTTTTCTAGTCCAATGCTTAATTAGTCCACCTGGGTATCCAAACATAATTATATGCGTTCTCTAAACGAGTAAACTGAAAGGGGGTTAATAAAAATAAAACTGTGTCATGTCTGGTTAAAGAAGGATGTGCATGAACAACAGGATTTAGAAAAGAGCCAAGAGTGAATAAAGGAGCGAAGACTCAAAGGGCATAAAATGTTTGGCCAGACACAAAACCAGAGTAAGTGATGATGCAGTGGAAATCTGCCCAGTAATAAGAAACAAAACAAAGAGCCAGTGGCAGAAAGTTAAAGGTAGAAAAAGTCCAGACACATGAGTCTTTTTTTTTTTTTTTTTTTTTTTTTCTTAGCTGTGAGGCAATTAACCTTCCGAGAAACTCATCGAGGCCTTTGGATTCTCCATCTCCGACCACATTTAAAATGAAAGCTGCGTCATTTCTAAGTAATTGTGTCCTTGTTCAAGCATATATTAATCTGCAGAATTTTTTTGGCTTTGTCTTAGGTAGGTAGTGAAAACAATGAATTACAAGTGTTCCTTCCAAACTTACTGCTGACAGTTTATAGTCCTCTGCCCTGTTTTGTGATCCTTTGAGTAAAGCTATATTTATGCATCAAAGGTCACGGGCTAGGAGTCTTGACATATTAGGGCTATTAAGCTATCTTCATTCAGGTTAATTTCTTTTTATTTAACAAGTAAGTTTCTTTTAAAAATTCTCTGTGCCCTGCATAAATCAGTCCTGCCTGTAAGATACCGAATACCTCAAACACAACCTTTTGCTTTCTCCCAGATCTGTTACCTCTAATCAGCCTCGTTGGATTTGTTTACTATTGAGCGGATTTGATCGAAGACTCTTCCACAGAGAAAAATGGTTTGTAGATGAAACAGTTTTTAAGTCATTCAGGCAGCAGTTTGTGCAAATATGCACATCTTTGTCTAGATAATTGTATTTGATAAAACTTTGGGAAAATTTGAGTTTTAGGTGTTGATTTATACAGCTCAGGTTGAGCCTTGTTACCTTGGAGCAAAGGATCATACATTGCCAACCAATTTGTGCACCTACTGAAAGAACAGTAGCCAGGCAACAAAAGCAGTGCGTTAGTGTGCAGCTTAGTTCTGCAGGTTCCCTAAGGAGAAGAGAAAGGATGTTTTTGCAGTGGTTTGATTAGACCTTTGCATATAACAGAGATTGTCACGATTGCTATGTAGTAGTGATTTTGATTGCTTTTATTTTACAGCACTGTCTTTTACCTTTCAAAACACAAATAATCCATGAGAATGCTTTTACAAGCAATCAGCTGGTATTTTCCCTGTCCTCATCAGTAGTGGAGAAACTGACCCTTGGGTAAGGGGGAACTTGGTTATTTAGATAGGAATTTATTTATTTTTTTTTTGTCAGCAGAAAAACAGACACAGCACATAAATGAAATAATTGCATTTATTCAGTTTACTCTACCAGCTACCTAATTAGTTATATAATCACCAGTAAATACCAGGCAATTAAAAACTGAGCATTTTAAGATACAAGTGAAGCAGAGAGACAACCTGAAGGTACACTAGTTGCTTTGGTATTTTTTTTAAAGATAAAAACTTTCTTAAAAGAACACCAATCAGATCTAAGTCAATGGCAAAGCTGCTATCTTCGGCTTGCTCTCAGGACTGATGGATGGAGTTTCCAAGCCATGGAACCAATACATTTGTCAATATCAATGCAACACAGTTAAAACTCTTCAGTAGCTACAGAATAATCTATTGTTTATAATCAGTAGTTGGCTTCTTAAAAGAGTTAAGTGATTTCTAATTAAACAATAAGCAGAAAGGATTTTAAATAGGCTCTGCAAAGCTTCTAGTTTTAATGGGCAATTTCCACCAGAGACCTTTAAAGCAATCAGCTGAGGAGCTGCCTGGCCAACTGATGTAATTTTTATTTATACTTTGAATACCAGGAAAATTTGGGGGGAACACAACGGGACAGGCAGAAGCTGTCATATCAGTATTTTTATTGGACCTGTGTAATGACAAGAGTAAAAACAGAGCACTTAATAATGATCATAAGTTCATTATTAAGATCAACATATAGTAGGGTGGTACATGCAAATTGTCAAGGGAGTGACAATGGTAGTGTCATTCATATTGATTCAGATGATTCTGTGGAAATGTCACTTATGCGACGCATTGTAAAGTTACTGTAACGCTTACCTTTGAATTAGTACATAACAGTGTCTGCCAAACAAAAATTAGTAACACATAAAAATAATGAAACATGACTTCATGCAATAGATTAAAATGTGCCTGGCTTGTAGATTTTGTTCTCATTAGCAGGAACTTTTGCCGCAGGATGTTCATGGCAAACATCCATTATAAGGCATGTAGTATAGTACCTGACATTTTTGTCAAGAAAAAAAACCCAAACCAAACAACCCAAACATAGTTGTAGATAATGATGAGATCTAGTGACCTGATGAGAAAAGTAAAATTAGTCATATATAGTAGCCTTATAGTATTTAGCATTACTTATATCTCCATTATGAAGACCCCAGACCTAATGTGTAGATGATAGTGTCACGAAAGAGGCAGGTTTAAACTTGATTGCATTGATTTAATGTTTTGTCTCATACAGTGATTACTAAATAATCTTTTCATCTTTAGTCCCGACAGACACCAGAGGGAGAATTTCTGCCGCTAGACCAGTGTGAACTGGATGTTGGATTTGGAACTGGAGCTGATCAGCTGTTTTTAGTTTCTCCATTAACCATCTGTCATGAAATTAACTCAAAGAGCCCCTTTTTTTGTCTCTCACAAAGATCACTAAGAAGCGAGCAATTTGAAATAGTTGTCATCCTTGAAGGAATCGTTGAGACTACCGGTAAGATTTAGAATAAAATGCATGCTTTAATTTTTAGTCTTTGTTTTTAGTCCTAATATTTTTAGAGAGGCAGCTGTTAATCCTTTCAGGATGCTAATCCTGGATGCTCCAGAATATCTTACCATATGCTATAGGGCTTCAGTGGCCTTTACCAGCCAATAGGAGACCTCCCTTTCCCATAGGGTTTCACATTACTGATGCCCAAAGTGGCCAGTACATCCAAGAAGAGATGCACCCTGCCATTCTTTGAGTATGACATGTAGAGGAGTACAACACCCTTATGAGACTTCTGTTTTAAGGTCCAGTGCTCTGAAAGAATGTTGAACCTTAGAAGTTGCCAGTGCTGCAAAATCACTTTCAGCCTAGCTTGCGTGAACTTGAATGCAAAATAACAGATCCAGTTTTACAGTAGAAATACAGACCACATAGTCACAATTGGGGTTTTTCTTTTTAAACTTTTTTTTTTTCCCCTTTTAAATTCTGATACGGCATTGTCCAGATGACACTCACTTTGTGGGCTTGTCTTTTGAGGACTTAATTCTTTTATGAATCCTGTGACAGTGTGGTGTGGTTACATAAGAAGCTCTGCGTCGAGGATCCATGCACACTGTTAAAGTCCAAATCATTCAGGAGGTTCATTGATTTTCTGATCTTCCTCTCCCTTCTTTTTAGGATTTGTTAAACTTTTGATTAGTCGAGAAGCATTTCAACAAGATTACTGGTTACTTGGTTCCTGCCTTAGAAACAGTAATGTCCTTTTGGTACACCCAAGTGCAGTCATCTCATGCTGGACAGGAAACAGAACTGACCGATTACTATCCACATGCTGGGCTGACCCCTAAACAAATACATAATCCACTTAGGCAGAACGCTCTTTCACATCAAGCCAGGAGTCTTTAGATCCCCACAGAAGCCTCTTCTCATCCCACAACTGAATCATTTATCTTAGATAAGCATGTATTAATAACTGCACTTAATACAATTACCTAACCAGGTATCGCAAGGGAAACATTTTACGCTTGTTTGAGATTTAATATAGCATAACTGGAAAGCAAATCAGAGTTTGAGCTTACTGACTGCTAATTCTGCCTCTGAAGAGTACCATCACAAGGAGGTTCTACTCACCTGGGATATTTGTATTCATTATCATCAGCACTATTGTGCTGAGATTGTAACGGATTTGTTGGCTTGGCTAGAACACATTTTAGCTGTCAGTTTACAGATGTAAATACTGCCAGTGACGTGTGTTTTACACTAAGTGGAACAAATTTGACAAGTTTTACAGCGGGACCTATGTCTTAGCTTAGAAGACAGCTGCGGTGTCTCTGCGCAGCTTTTGTCTTGACACACTATTTGGAGAAAAAGTAGCCTAGCCTACAGAAGGAATGGAAGATTAAATTTTTGATTTAGCTTTGGCTCCCCTCACGCCCGATCTTTGCCTGAGAATTCTGTAAAGCCTGCCAAGCAACGGGTCTTTCTCCCAAGGTGACTTCCAAGAAACATTATTACATATAAACTGTAAGATTATTGTTGCTAGAGAGCTAATACTGCCTTAATTTTATGTTTTGCTTTTAAGTTTCATGTTTTGCTTTTATATTTTCTCAGTGTGAGTCTGCAATATTTAATCCATGATTTGCACGGAAATCTAGTCAATCAATTAGAGGCACTCCACTGACTGTCGGGAGATTGACTAGGAACAGTTGCTCCATTTTATAATCTTTAAATTTGTTAGCTTACAGGCTACAATTGATTTTTATCCATCAGCCTTACCTTGTATTTTTTGTTCCGTATGCCAGTGTACTTGGTCACATTAGAACGTTATGCCCTTGTTTCTGTTTCCGTAGGAATGACATGTCAAGCTAGGACCTCATATACAGAAGATGAAGTTCTTTGGGGTCACAGATTCCTCCCAGTAATGTCCCTAGAAGATGGCTTTTTCCGTGTCGATTATTCTCAGTTTCATGCTACGTTTGAAGTCCCCACTCCTCCTTACAGTGTTAAAGAGCAAGAAGAAAACCTGTTCCTGTCATCTCCTTTGAATAGTCCTGTCGATAATAAAACCAGAAGAGAGCAAGTTTGTTCTCTTGACTGTATTGATATTGCAGGACAGAAAAACAAGCTCCCTTTTAAACTTAAGATTAGCTCGAGAAAGGGAGACCTTCCAAGAAGAGCCCTGAGCATGAGTTCCAGTAACATAGAGAAGACTTGCAGCACTGGAGATCTCTTGAAAATTCAAGAAATAAATCCCGTCTCTGACAGCGAAGACAGTGATAATAGGGTACAGTTGAAAGCCTTACAAATAAATGCTGAGGCTTTAACTCAGTCTACTGGTGTTCTCGAGTTACAGAAGAACCCTCCAAATATTTGTGCTCTAGAGATGAAATTGGAAGATAATTTTCCTGCCAAACTTCAAAAAATGAACTCTGATCGCATCTCTTAAGAGCAGAAACAACAGGAGTTGTTGCTGATAAACTGCATTCGAGATGGCTGACCTGAAATAGTTGTCTTACAGTAAAGTCATTATTTGGTTTTGCCACTTTCAGGAAGAACGATCCTTCTTGTATAATTCTTCTGTACAGATCCAACTTAGGTAGCATAATAGGACTTCGAGGGGCAGTAAGGTTGTTAGACTATTGTGCCAAAGAGATTGCTGCCATAATGATGTTTATTGGCATGCTTGTTGCAAAGTGTCTTCCATATACAAAGATGCTTTTTCATGAAGCAAGGACCAGATCCTTAGTTGCAGAGTGAAATGTTCAGAGATCAAGCCAAAAAGAGTGTACAAGTAGCTGAAACACAATTTTGTACAGCTCAGATCTTGGACTGTTCCTGATGTATAAAACAGCAGAACATAGGAAGAATCTGTGATGCTGCTTGATCGTAGTCCAGTTCTTTTTCAGTGACTCCGTTGGAAGGTGGCCTTCCTGTGCAGCCTGGTGGCCTGCATCCTTCTTTCTCAATGATTGTGGTGTGCCAGCTCCATGCCCCCAGAATCTTGTTCATTCTCATTCAGGAAAAGGAAGTGGTTTGCGATAGCCATTTGCGTGGTTTGACTTTCACGAGCTGTCATAAACAGGATCATTTATCCTGTCCAGAATTAGACTCCAGCATTTAATCAGGTGGATCACATGTTGAATTTTAACGACTGTATCACAACTCACTGTGAAGGGAACTTGAGGTCAGTAGCTCAACTTAATGGTATGTCTCATACCTCAACTTCATGGAATTTTAGTTTGGAAACTCCTGGTAAGTTAATAAAAGCAAAGCAGTAGATAATGCTAGGTCATTACAGGAACAGACAATACTATGTACACATCTCTGAGTTTTACTAATGAACGGTAGGGTCTTTGATGTTGCTCGGGGTTTTTTTTGTTACACTTGCCTTCTCTATTTATATATGATTCTCAATAATTTTGTAGATTTGATGTTTATAGTATTACGCAATTTATTGCAGGGTAGAACTCTATTTTAACATAAATATGTTAGGATACTGAAAGAAAAGGCAGCACAGTTCTGTAACACATTAAGTGTGCAGCTGAGAGAGGGCTTTCACGTTTTTGAGCGTAATGGAGCATCCTCTCAAACTGCTTCTGCTAATAATGGTGATTTACTTCCAGTTGTTAAATTAATATTTTAGAAGATCATCCCTGGAATATGGCAACCTTATCTGTAGAAATGACCAAAAAGATTATCAGTGGAGATTTACACAGAGGTGTTGGTGTTTTGGTATTCAGAGATTAATTAAAGTGTCATACAGCTTTTATTAAGTGTCTGACCTTGAAAAAAATGCTCTTCTGGTTTGAAAAAAAATCTCACATAACTGAAACTACAGTTTGTCTTATAGTTCATCAGGAAGTGGTGAGAACTAGACTTTCTTTCTTAGATTTCCTGGGGTTCTAGACTTCAGAATAATTGCATTACTATTCAACTATTCTGCTGTCCATCTCAATCTGTGAAAGAGGTCTCTTTTTTCTGGTTGGTAGTGATCAAGCATAATCAGAACTTGCTATTTTGTAAAACACGATGTTCAGTAGCTCACGGTATAGGGTGCTTATCACTAGCAAAGCACTCCCCAACAGAATGATCAAATTCTGCTCTTGTTATCTGGACAGAGTTCAGTCAAATTTAAAAGGAGCTCCTGTGCCCATATCAATTGGCAACACATGCCTTGATGACTAGAATGCAGAGGTAAAGTAATTATCCGAACCAGGGATGGCTTGGCTTGCATAAATTGCTATTTCTTACTTTAGATCTCCTGCCTACAGTGTGAAACTGGGAAACGGTGTTTTGCACGGGGGTAGGGTTTGCTTGTTGTTGTTCTTATTTGTGTTCAACAGGAATTTCAACATGATACGTGTGCTGAAATCTGTATTTTCAGTTATTAAATGTATTAGTATGGGATATTTAGATGACAGTGTGAAGTCTTGATGGATGACTCTCCCCACTCTTCGGAACAGCCAAAATTAGTGTAAAATAAAATTACATCCACCTTGAGTCTTAAGCATTCTTGTGAGTCAGTCATTTCAGAGTGCATTTCTAATAGCCACAGAAATGGGTGAAAGTACCCCGTATCTGCTTTTCCAAATAGTTACATGAAAGGCTGTTCTGCACATGTTATGCAATATCAGACATGTAAGGTGGTAGTATTGTTACACTGGTCCAGTAGCAACTGTTTGGGGGGAAAGCATAATGGCACCAAGCCCTGTGGAAGTTTCTGTCCCAAGTGTTTATGTGTAATAATTAATAAAGGACTGTATTCATGGCTGTGGCTCCTGCAGTCCCTTTGAGTCGGTAAACAACTGTGGCAGTGCCTGAGGGAAGGAGCTTACCTACTGTGTCTGAGGGGTGGGAGCTGGTCCTGAGATCTCTTGGACCCCTTTGGGGTCACTGGAGGTTTCCAGACAGCGCCAAGGCCATTCACAGGGGTGTGAGGAATTTCCCTTGCATTGCCAGGGACACTCGGGGCTGTTGGTAGCATTTACCATCATCCAGGAGCCAGCCAGGGCTGCATGAGGTCCCCAAGCTGCTCTTGGTTGCTGTCAGCACCCTGAGCTGCCCTGGATACATCTGGGGTCAAGAGCAGGGGGCAGTGCAAGCAGTGCTGGAAGATGGAGCTTCCATAGGGTCTGGTGATGGCTGCAGGCCACTTCCCATCAGACACACTGAGCCCCATAGCGTGTCATGGTCCATTTGGTGTGCACCAAGGCCCTTTATTTGTATTTGGGTATGCTCCAGCGCCCTCTGAACTCGTGAATTCCTGTTTCTGTTTGCCCTCAAATACTTCTATGCGGCCCAAAGCCCTACGACCTTGTGCAACACTCCATGACCTCTGGCAATGCCCCACAAATCTGTATATTGTCCCAGTCTGGTCAAATTCCCACGGACTCTGGCAATGCTCCACGGCTTTGTGCAACTTCCTACGGCCTCGTACAGTGTCCTGATGGCTTTGCACAAAGTCTTAGAGCCTCTGGCAACATCCCACGGTCTTGTTCAGTGTTGCAGAGACTCTGGTAATGCCTCACTGCATCTGGCAACACCCTACAGCTTTGTGTCATGCTCTGCCACCTAATATAACGTCCCAACGACTTTATGCAATGTCTCACAACTTTTGGAAATTCCCCAGAAAACTGTACAATGTTCCATAGTCCTGTGCATTATCCCACGGACTCTGGCTGTGCCCCACAGCATCTGGTGATGCCCCATGTAGTTGTAGGGCGTTGCACAGTGCTGTGGGATATTGCATCTTTTTTTAAAGTTCTTGTATAAGGCTGTGTGTCTTTGCATGATGTAGTATGGCGTTTCCAGAGGCTGCTAAGAGTTTTTACAGGATTGTGCAACGTTGCATGAGGTTTTGGGAAAATTGCACGAATCCATGGGGCTTTGCCAGATGCCATGGTTAGTTTCTAGACATGGTAAGTGTTTATATAGAGAGTTGTGGGGCTTTTGCAGGATTGTTCAACAGTTCATAAAGTCTTTGGGTCATTACCTGAGGCTGTGGGGCATTGCCAAATGCCATAGGTCTTTTTCAGTGGCCATGGGACATTGCCTGGGGTTGTGAAAAGATGTATACCTCTGTGGGACATTGCACAACATGCTGGGGCATTGCCAGATGCTGTAAGACATTTGCAAAATCCATGGGATGTTGCTTGAGGCAGTGGGGCATTGTAAGGGACTGGAGACAGAGTACAAAGTTTTTTTCCAGCATTGCAAGAGGTTTTTTGATTGTTGTACAAGGCTGTGGGGCATTGCCAGATGCCATGGAGCAATGCCAGAGACCAAAAGACTTTGTACAGCACCATAGGGTGTTGCATAAGTCACTGGGAATTTGGACAGGATCGTCCGACCTTGAACAGGGTCTCTGAGGCATTGTACGATGCCGAAAGCATTTCTAGATGCTGTAGGAGGTTACCAGAGGCTGTGGGATGTTGCATGAGGCAGTGGAACCTTGTATGGTACTGTGGAACTTTGTTCAGGGTTGTTCAATCGTTGCATGAGGTCGCAGAACATTGCATGAGGCTGTGAGGCGTTCTCAGATGCTGTTGGCGAGTTGGGGCGGTAGTGAGGAGGGTTACAGGGCCGGAGACTTTTCACACTAACTTTGTGCCTCTTGGTATCTTAGGCTCCACAAGCGATGATGGCCATGGCGTCTGACTTTGGAATCAGTGCAGAGTGGGCGAGCAGAATTCCATGGTGCTTTTCAGGAGGGGTGTGTTGTGGAGGAGGTCGGCATTGCCCGGTGTCATGCTGAGTGCCAGTACTGTATTGTTTCTCTCTGTTTTGCTCTTTCTCTTTCCACACCCCCCCCCTCCTCTGCCCAGGTGATGAAGATGAACCTGGCAGCTGCAGGAACATCCCAGCTATAGCCTGTGTGTTTTTTTGGATGAGGATGGATTCAGACCTCTGGTACTCTGAAGTTAAGTAGAAGGATGGGTGCTGAGGGGCAGTTGGAGGGGAAAGGACAAGGTTGGGAATTGTTGGAAGGGGTCTTAAAGTTAGCGTAGGGAGAGGGTTGTTCAGGAACAGATCCCTTTGGGTGGGTAAAGGGAGCAGGTTTCTTTTCAGCACGAGGGCGGTGTGGGCAAGGCAGTTCCAGCCTGTGTCTGTGTGGTGTAGTTTGCATAGTCTGTCTTGTGTGTCATAGGCCGTCCTGTCCTCAGGTCTTTATGTGTCTGTAGCTCCTTGTGATCAGCAGCTACCTAGGTAGCTCTCCCAAGAGTTGTGATCGCATTGCCTTGTTGGCATAGCACCCGTCGAGCCCTTCTTGTCTTGGAATTAAAGTTTAATGTCTGGATCTGTCTGCCGTGCATCGTGTCTTTGATGTTCTTGAGTGGCCATCTCTTGCGGCAGTGAGCCGGGCGGTGCCCGCGACAGCACTCTTCAGAGTTCTGTTTGCTCAGAGTAATCTTGTGGGTTTTCATCCCAGCATCCTTAACAGTCTTA